AAATTTTCCTTGTTAAAGAAAAATCAAAAAGTATAAAAGGTGAGTACTATGGATATCCAAAATTGCCCTTGACATTGTCCTTTTGCGTTGGGTTTTTGGTTTTTTTACACAAAATTGCGAAGGCATGTTATTATTCATAGACTGTTCACTTGCTTTTTGTGGGACTCAACTCGGTTTTTTTGTCATTTTAGCAAATCGACTATTCTTACCAAAAAGTGTCAATCATCAACCAAAAATATAAAAGGTGAGTACTATGGATGCCCAAAATTGCCCCTTGACATTGCCCTTTTGCACTGGGTTTTTTGTCTTCTTACACAAAATTACAAAGCCATGTTATTGTTCATAGCCTGTCCATTTGACTTTAGGGAGCATCAACCCCGGTTTTTTAGTCATTTCAGCAAATTGACTACTCCTGGACTATTCACTGCCATTCAGGTAAATGTTGCCTTTCTCTTTGGTTTTTTGGGCAATTTGGGGGCAAAAATAGTGTTCACGCGCGGGTCCATTTTTGCCCTTTTCTTTCCCACTACGCCAGCCTTATTTTCAGCCGACGACAACGGAGGTGGGGTAAGGAGAGCAAAGCTGAACGTGGTGAGATCTATGTTGGATTTTTGGTGGTCGAAAAGAGAGGGTTTAGAATTTAGAGTGGACTTGGAGGAGAGTAGGAGAAGAGTGTAACTTAAAGCTTAATTCTCAATTTGGTTTTTTAATTATTATATAGATTTTTGATTTGATTTTTATTATTTATCAATTTAATTTTAAATTGATTTTTTTGTTAAAATATAATTGATATGTTTATTATTTAATAATAAAAAATCATTACTTAATTATCACGTGTCACATTAATAATTAAATACATCATTTACTTTTATATAAAAGAATCAATTTAGACTAAATTGATAAAGTAATGAACTAAATCAAAAAAAAATTTTAATTTAAAAATCAAATTAGATATTCATATAATAATTAAGAGATCAAATTAAAAATTCAACATACCTTAAAACTGACATAATTATAAAAGGGTGCAGACAGAGGAGGGAAGATGTTCTCCCAATTTCACTCCATTTTCCAATTTCCATTTTGTCAAAGGTTGTAATATATAAATTAACTATAAAAAGTACATTGAAATTGTTGCACTTTTGTTTGCTAATTTGGGGTTAAAGCCAATTATCATCCCTCTACTTTTATTTTTTGTTCATACCCATCCCTCTACTAAGAATTTGTTCATTGTCGTCCCTCTACTTCCCAAGCACTAATCAACGTCATCCCTCTACTCACCTTTTTCCATTTAATGTCGTCCTTATTTGGACGGCGTTGCTTGTGCCGTTTATTTTGACCGTTATATGCCGGTAATGAACTGTTAACACAATTCATTAATTTTTTTCCCTTGTTCTAACTTAGTGGGGACCACTCCTTTTCATCATCTTCCCCTCAACAATTCCCTGAACTCAATCCTCCTTTTTGCATGAACCTAATGCCCAGCCCAAGGTTAAATAAAATTAACATTTTCCAACTCACTTTACAGGTTGTTAAGATATATTTTTACTTTTAAAAGAAATTATAATTATAAATAAATAATGAAAGAGTTTATTATTTTATAATTTAAATTATATTAAATTATAAAATAAAAATCTTTTGATGGAGAAGACTCTCAATTTCAATATCAGTAATTCATTTATTATTCATGGGTTCATATTTTTTAGTTTAGTATAATCTAAATTATAAAATATTTTCAATTATAAAAAACAAAATAATATTTTATCTTTAATAAATTATATTAAATACTAATAATAATATAATAAAACAATATATAAACCATACACTACTCTATCATTATTCTTAAGATACCACTTTAAATATCATATAAATTTATAAAGTTAAAATATAACAAATCACTATTTTTTAATAAATGACATGATAAATCAATCAAAATATTACATTGAAGTGACAATCAATTTTTAAAAATACTATCAAAATCTATTGTATTTTTTCAAAAAGAAAACTTATTTAAGAAAGGTTGTTTTATAAAATAATCTTACACTTAAATACAACAAAAAAATTTAGTTTAATCAATAAAAAGGTGGTTTGTGAGACAAAAATCAAGGGGTAAAAAAAAACTTTAACAGTGGAATTGGAGAAATATAATAAGTGAAAAATTATAATGACTAAAATTTTTTTTGTTATGTTATGTTAAGTTGTTTTTTTTCTTTCTTTCTTTCTTTTTATTCCTTGGTCTGAACTTTACAGTGCTATTTGTGGTATTAGTTACATACTAACTTTTTTTCTAATTATTGAAAAGTTTATTATATCATTCTTTACTAACATGTCAGTAAAAGTTTATTATATCTCTCTTGCGTCCAAATACCTTTCAATTTTAACTAACAGATTAATAAGGAGTGATATAATAAACTTCTCACTAGCTAAAAAAAAAGTTAGTATATAACTAACACCACAAAATAGTATTGTAAAATCCAAACCAAGAAACAAAAAGAAAAAAAGAAAAAACAACCTAACATAATATAATAAAAAAATTTAGTCACTATAATCTTTCACTTAGCATATTTCTTTGATTGTTGTTTCGCAAATCATCTTTTTGTTGATAAAACTAAATTTTTCTTTTGTACTTAAGTACAAAATTATTTTATATAACAACCTTTTATGAATAAGTTTTCTTTTTGAAAAAATACAATAGATTTTAATAATATTTTTTAAAAACTAATTAACACTTCAATGCTATATTTTAAGTGATTTATCATGTTATTTTATTAAAAAATAATGATTTGCTATATTTTAACTTTGTAAATTTATATGTTATCTAAAGTAGTATCTTAAAAATAATAAATAGAGTAGTATACGATCTACAAATTTCTTTATGATATTATTATTATTTATTACTGTTTATTAAATGTCAAAGATTATTTTAGTATTTTATAACTAAAATTTTTTTGTAATTTAGATTATACTATATTATAAAATATAAAACCTTAAATAACAAATGAACTCTTAATATTGAAAGTCTTTCCCATAAAAGATCTTTATTTTGCAATTTAATATAATTTAATAAATAGAGTAGTATACAATCTATAAATTGTTTATGATATTATTATTATTTAATA